GCATTTCAAAAATTTTTTTTTCAGTAAAACTTTATAGTTTATCTGTTATTTTCTCTACCTTATATCAAAATGGGATTGGTCAATTCGACTGATCTTATAACCATAAAAAAAAATCGAAATAAACCTAAATTATCCTTTTTTTCTTTCAAGAATGACTTCAAATTGTAACATGAAACTACATTCGTTTATCTTAAGTAGCTTTAAGTTCGTAATAGTATACATCTATTTATAATTAAATTTTATTGTTTTATTGCCCTTTGAACTTTATGTAAGTATTATCCGTGCCATTATAAGTTGTAAATCACTCGGGGAACATGTAGCCCACGTTACGCTAATGAATTACATTACCCATGAGCTGTTTGGATGCATGCCTCGTGAATCATTTTAATTATATTACTATTATTATTACTTATTTTACCTAATCTAGTCTTAAATAACTTTAAAAGATCCGTATTTTTAGATTTCAGTAACTTTTATAATAATAAATAAAGAATATATATGAAAAACAAGAAATAAAGTACTTACACAGTCTTCTCTTTTCTTGCTCTTGGGTTTTCAAAGAGAGTTAACCCTAATTTTTATACTATAGATAGTAATGCACTTAATAATTTTTATGTAATTAAATAATGCACCAAAGCATATAGACTAATAACATGCAAAAAGTAGGCATATTCACTTACCTCTCAAAATTTTCCTGGCTTTCTAACTGTACGACAAGAGCCATTACAAATTCATCCAAACTAGTTGTTAACTTTCCCATGGGAACGTTGCTTGTACTCTGAATGAAATTGACATTTAATGGTTCAGAATATAACATTATACAATACAGCATTTGATAGATAAAAAGCCTTGACTTTCTTTTGGTTATAGGTAATATACAATGAAACGTAAGAAAGAACCATCAACGAATTGTGAAAGAGAGGATGTGGCAGGAGGGGTCTGATTTTCTATTCGATATTTCTGTAACAAAACAAAATTGAAGGCTATAAAAATTATGGTTTGTTTGACCAATAACGATTTTATAGAGAGTATTTTAAGCTTAATTGCTTACTTTTTCAAGGGGTGGTGGATAAAATAGGGATGATGACATGCTAAGAGAAAATGTGTCATGTGGACCACACTAGTGGAATTTCAGGATTTTTTAAATATTGCTTTGTACAATTAAGAACTTAAAACTTGTGTACTATTAAAATATGGGTTATTAGCTAATATTTTATGCTATTCTAATTGGTATAACATAAACAAAAAGTAGTTTAATAAAACCTTGTGGCATGTGCAGTAAAGGGTACCCAAGGTGATAAGGTTAACATATCATGATGATGAAGACTCAAAAATTAATGAAGCCATAGGATCAAATATAACTATATAAATAAATACAAGACATACAGTTACACTTACATCTCTGTTTGAAGATAACAGAGACAACATAGATTCTCTCAAGGTATGCACAGCTGTTCAAACTTCAACGACACACACATTCTAAGGGAATTAACATAAACTAAATTCACTCCTCTGTTCTGGGCAGCATAGTCTTGTTTGTGGATTTTAGGTAGACTATAGATGTATGAAGTGTTACTGTGGTGTAGAGTTCCTTTTGACTTGTCTTGAAAATTTGGTTAATCTTTTTCTCTGTGTTAGATGTTGGATTAGACTAAACCTTCTTGTAATATCCACCCTCAACTAAAATTTGGAGCTTTATGTTATATTATCTTTTTATCATTGATTACTGTGGCATTGTCTTTATTTGCTGATACAATTCTTAGGGTGTTGTTTTTTTGGGCTTTTTTTAGTTTCCTAAGGGCATCATTTTCTATTATAGCTTATCGACTACTGACTTTATTTATGTTTTTTCTTCTTCTTCTTCTTCTGGTAGGCTGTAAGCTGTGATTTCAATGACCATGGCTACAACTAAGATGGGGGTATTTTGTTGTGTGTTATGTTAAATTTTAGTCCTTTATTTAGCATAGTTTCTCCTAGTTTCATCAGTAGCCATTTATTTGAGTTAATCACTATGTATCTAGTTTTTGCTGTAGTATCTGAGGGACTTTTTTTTTATCTCATAGTTTACTGTAGAGATTCACCATGCTGCCCCTTGTCTAGATTTCTTATAAACACAAATTACTGTTAACATGAATTTATTCCACAATTATGATAATGTCACAGAATACAGTGATCAATTTTAATGCATTCAACCTGTTCACTGACATACCAACTCTTGAAACAATACAGATACTGTGCCAACAGCTTGAAAATGATAGGACTCTCAAAGAATGTGTCTTACTGACAATATTCATAACAGAAGGAACTAAGGTTTTGTAAGAACACAATTGCAACATGAAGTAAAAATACTATCATTAATATGACGGCCTAACAATGGATTCACCTTTATCACTATTACTTAATAACCACAATATGCAACACTTTGAAGATAGCACCCTCAAATCATCTGATCTAAGACCTAGGATCTGTTTCCAACATGTTAGCAGCATCTGTGAAGTGTAGTCACATGCTACAGTCAAGATTCTTCAGAATTCATGAATAATCTGAACAAATAACTTCCATTGTATAAATCATAATGGAAATAGAAAAATATAACAACTGTATTCCTAGGTTGGATGATCATGTACCATAGGAATTTAAAGGAAACCCACAGATAAGAAAGTTTCATACATATAACCACATTCCCATATATCAGAGGCCTCACTGAAAACATATAAAAGCTATACAAGCAGCGCAAGGGCGGAACAGTCTTCAGAAGCTACAACAAAATACATTTACTATTAGTGCACACTAAAACATCTAAATACTTAATGGAAAGCAAAAACATCACTTGCAACATTTTATGTGAATATGGACTTTGGTATTAAAAAAACAAAAGTCTGAATTTATGAGTACAATAGTTATATAAGACTAACACTAAAATAATGTGACATGAACTACACATGTAAGAAAGATTAAAAGTCTTCTACAACCAAATAACTACTAAAACAACCAGCCAACCTAGCATAGAAGTATGAAAACCTGGATATTCATCTTGAAAACATTGTGGTGAGAGTGTGGAAAAATGGATAGTACACTCTTTCAAGCAAGAAGACCCAGGATAGAATCTTGGTTTTTGCTATCATATACAATTCTTCTCAGAACTTCTCTGAAGATGAAAGTCTAGCAGCTGAATCTGTTGGATATACAAAATTGTTAAATATAAGACTTATTATTTAGTTAACTTAGTGATTTAATCATTGTTTAGTTTTCATGACAAGAGTGTTAAAAGTTAATTATCTTAAAAGCAATAGTTATGTCAAATTTTGTTACATAACTCGATACCAGTCATATGTTGTGTGTGTAGTTCAGTTGTTGTGATATTGTTGACGTCAATTTACTTGAAGCTTTCAAGTTCTTGTTATGTGTAATATTGTTCTCCTAGAGGGCTAGATTTTTCTGTTGCATGTTATAAATACATGCAGATACAATGAGGAAGTGAAGAAAGCAAGTTAAGTGAGATATAATTAGACAGATCTAGACTGAGTGATTGGCAGTTTAGTCATGAAAGGCAATTTCTAAAGAAGTTACTCAAAAAAGGTTAAGTTAGTGAAAGTGAAGTTAGACTGTGAGATTGTTAGTTTAGCCGTAATGGGTAATATTTAAAGTAAGTTTCACAGTTGTATTGTAATAATAGAGATAAGGAGAATAATTTGTCTTGTCAAAGGTTGTTCTAAAGTAATTGAACCCACCTATGTGGACTTTGATGAAAAGGAGACACTTATTTGAAGTTCTAGATACAACTATGGTAACTCACAGAGTAACATAAGTGACTCTATTGCAGATTGTATGGTAAGAAATAGAGAAAAATTAATTCTTCATGTCAATTGAGTTCTAAAGTAACTGAACTAGCCTGTGTGGACCTTTGACAAGAAAGAGAATCATTTAAAGCTTTAGATACAACTTTGATAACCAATAGTGAAACAAATTTTTGTACGTACATTTGTCTTGTTTTGAATATATTATTTTAAAACAAGTAGATTGGGTGCTGTCCATTTATTGTTGATATTTATTGCCAACAAGTCACAGACACCTACTGTGAAAGATTCCCAGCCCATGTTCAAAACCCTGATAGAAATATATAGGTAATTAGCAACTAATTATAATAATAAAAAAGACTAGCAACTAATTAGTAATTACATTATCTTTTAGGCTGCTAACCATGACAAAAATTGTATCTGATTGTCACAATCTTTCCGTAATTACTGACTTGATTTTGAAGTGTGCTATGTTAGGATAAGGACTTCACTGAGAGAGTGTGTACGTGTCTATTACAAGTGTTTTACAGTTTTGCTTCCTGTATTAGGAGCAGCATTCACACGTTTCCAGACACTAAGATTGAAGAAGGTTTTTCCTGAAGTGCTAAGCGACCAACTGATCAGTTATGGTAGTTGTCAGTTTCCCACACTGGGTTTTGTTGTGGAGAGATACAAGCAAGTCCAAGCTTTTGTACCTGAACCTTTCTGGAAGATCAAAGGTAAAGCATTTGAATTATTGAAAGAGCAACAGATTTTTGGTGGCATCCAAGTAGAGAATTTTTGTTAAATGTTGTGGTGTTTATTACTAGTGCAAGGTTAGTTTTTCAATCTTTTGTGTTATATGGTTGTACATAAAATCATTTAGTGTTATCTAAGCAAAGCCTCTTTTTAGATAGCATAGGGAAAATGTTTGTTGTGAAGTTCTTGTTTGATGACAGAATATCAAACCAAGCAAAAACAATCTTTTGACTAATATGTTAGCATAATTAATTGTAGGGCTTTAAAGTTCTTTCAGTTAAATTTCTAAACTAGTGCAAGCCTTTAAGTATTCTGAAGCTTTGTAGAGTTCGTTTTTATAGTTAGCTTACTATATAATACTTATCGCATCAATTACACTTTGTCAAAGGCATCAGTCCATTAGATGGACCCTGTTTCTGTGCACCTATACATAGTAAGGATTACTATAATTTTTAAATTACGAAATATATCTTCACAAAATTTGGCAAGCTTTTAGTAAACATTATAAGCCAGGCTTATAAAAAAAAGCAGATTGCCCAGCTCCCATCCTTCTGGTCTCCTGTCCCTCACCCTCTGACTTTGGGCACATATGCTCTAAGCCAGGATTGAATGGGTCTTCAGCTTTACACATTCCATCCAGTTCATCTGTTATCTAAGGTTCTTGCTCTTATTCGCTCCTCGTCCTGTCAAGTTCTCCTAATTGTGCTATATTGGTCAGGTCAGCCTTGGTTTCCACTTCTTCAGTATCTACAAGAGTGCCAACCTCTTCTGCTTCCTCTTTTACATCAGCCTTGGTCAGACATTCTTCATCTGGCGATCACCATTTTCCAGCTTCATGCCTGGCTTTTATGTGGTCTATTGCACAATGTCAGGGATTGACCTGTTGGGTGGAATCTTTATTAACGCTGTCCACTTGCTGTTCTTCTTTGGAGGTTTATCAACAGAAATGATTTACTTATTGTTAGTGGTCTCTCAGACATGGATTTGAACCTTCTTGTTCCAGTGTGCTGCATGTTTCTCAATTTCTGACATTGGTAATCGACAAAATTTGGTGACTTTGTCCATTTCTCTGTATAAGGCAGCTTTGTCAGCTACTTTTAATTTTTTCGGTTTTGTCCTTGCTTCTGAAATTTTTTTTGGATTCTCCAAGCTTGACATCCTTCCAGGTTCCTAATTGGGATATCATGATGGTTCTCCATGTCTTATCTTGTCCACCCTTAGAACCTTTGGCATCATGTTCCTTATATCAACTTTCTCTTAAGACTTATTTTTTTCTCTTGTTGGCTAGCAGACGTTGATGTTTGGATGTGTTTGCGATTCATGTTCACAAGACTCTTTACCATTTCACATACAGTTGTATGTTCTGTTGTATTCAGATAGGTTCTTTCTTCCCAAAACTTCAGTGACTAGAGAAGGGGATAAGGCTTTCTCTCCTATTCATTTTCCCTCCATTTCTCATTTTTAGAATGCTTGGATCTGGATCATCTTTTATGCCCAGTTTAGGCTCTTTGACGTTATGTTGTGTGGACTGAAGGGTTTTAAGGTTCATGTCACTATTTGTTTATCCATTGGGATCCTAAGTCACATGATTTATCTCCTGACACTTTGACAGGTTGGGTTCATCAGTTGATGTGTATTACTTACTCTGGGTTTTCATTGGAGGAACAGAGACTTCTTCAAGTCTCATCTCATCAAATTCACCATATCTCAATGTCCCTGTCAGCTCAGTTGCGTCAGCCACTGGAGGAGATTGTACAGGCTGGTATGTGGACATTTATAATACATGTAATACTTTTATATCTCATTATTTACATGATTTGGTGGTTTCTTCCTCAGAAGGTTTTTGGCTAACCCTTGTGGCTGTTCTCCATGCCCGAGCTAGTTTGCAAGAGAGGTGAGTGACTTCATTTCTGTTATGTTTATTTCTGTTCTTTTTCAGGGACTCTTTCGTCACTTTCATTTGGATCCCACTCTGTGTAAGATGTTGCCTGGTCAGGTGTGCTTATTTCCAAATCAAGTCAATGTTCTCTTGACTAGTCTCCAGGATAGGAAATTAATTAAACAGACCTTCTAACCTCTTTCATCATCTTGGATGGACATAGTTCACTCTGGTGTAGTGGAATTATTGATATGAGGTGTCAATCTCTCAGATCATAGCCTCTCTCTCTCTCTTCAGTACTACTCATGATTACACCTATTTCCATGCCTTGAGTTAGAAATTTTGTGTCAGTGATCTATCCAATTCTTCATCTTTTCCTTGGGAAGTGAACATATCCCCGATGCAATAATCATTGCATAGACTGGAGAAGGCCAACTAGCTTTCCTTTACTACTTTCTTAGAGCACGATTCTGCCAATACACAACTTACTACATGTTAACAAATTTGTAGATTTGATACTTTTCCATTGTGGACACCTGACTGCGAGAGGGCTTGGTGGGTTTAGAAACAAGCATGAGATATCTTTTGCAAATGTCTCAGAAGTCTTGTGCATGTATTTGTCAGATCAGATATGTTA